AAGTGTGGTAGCTCAACTAGCTAATCCTCTGCTTGCCTATGCCAGCACCTGCAGGGGATGCAACACTTTTGACGCAATTCCTTGGTTCTAGATTTGGAAAAGCAACCAAGTATGGCCCAAGTCAGCCCCTATAGCCATGTGAGAGACTCAGGAGAGGCTCCTGACTTCAGATGGGCTGAATTCTCACCACTGCAGCCACTGAGGGAGAGAAGCAGCAGATAGAAGAGCTCCCCCTGCGATGCTTCTTCTCTCTGTAAATCTTTCAAATAAAAAATAACTAATTTTTTTAAAAATTAAAAAAATTGGCTCAATCTCTTGACCTTATACAGAATATTAGATGTTTATAAGTTTTTCACATAAAAAGACCCTCATCAAAAATATCTAAAATAAAAATCATGTGAGCCTTAAGTGTGACCATTCAATTACTTTTAAAATTGAGTTATATGTGAAACCGGCATAAATTAGCTGTTAATATGTTGTGATGGTAACAAATCAACCAAAAGGGTGACAGGGAAGAAGCTATGATGAAAGTATACGCACTTCACTCACCATGAAGATCAAACCACATGAGGAACCCAGGCCATGTCCTACAGCCTGTCTGAAGAGGATTAGATGAAAAGAATGTAAAAGAAAAGGAAAGAATCAAGCCACAATAGCTTCCTACTCAGAAACACCACGAAAACAGCAGTAACGGGAGATAGTCAAATTTCTAACACTCCTTGCATAAGTCACTATCATACACAGGCACCTTCATACCAAGAAACTTATGCAATATAATCATGTTTTCATCTGTAAGGCCTTGAATCAGGGGCCAGCGCCTGCATGGCCAGCATCCCATGAGTGACAGTTCAAATCCCAGCTGCCCCACTTCCCATCCAGCTCCCTGCTAATGTGCCTGAGAAAGTAGCAGAAGATGGCCCAAGTCCTTGGATCCTGCACCCATGTGGGGGACCCAGAAGCTCCTGGTTCCCAACTTCATATCAGTCCATCTCTGGCCAATGTAGCCACTTGTTTTCTTTTTATTTGAAAGGTAAATTTAAACAGAGAAGATACAAAGATCTTCCATCCACTGGTTCATTTCCCTAGTGGTCAAACATCTGGAACTGAGCTGATCCAAAGCCAGGAGCTTCTTCTGAGTCTCCCATGCAGGTGTAGCGGCGTAAGGCTTTGGATTCTCCTCTGCTACTTTCCCAGGCCATAAGTAGGGAGCTGGATGGGAAGTGGAGCAGCCAGGACACAAACCAGTAGCCATACATGATTCAACCACAGGTGGAGGATTAGCCTGTTTCGCAATGGCATCAGTCCTTGAAGATTTTTAATTAATTTTTCTTAAGGTTACAGACAAGGTTAACCTTTCTACTGACAAGGGTTTTATAAATTACTAACATGAGAGGAAGCACACACAGACACTGAATTTACAAAAAAGATATAAAATAAGTGTTCTAGATAAGTAATTTTTCATTTCTCCATTCCTAAGAATTTAAGACATTAGAAATTACTAAAATCAAACTGATTTTTCCAGCCTTTCATTTTCAAAAATAATGGCATAAAAAAAAAATTACTTCATGGGCCCAGTATGGTAACCTAGTGGCTAAAGTCCTCGCCTTGCATGCATCAGGATCCCATATGGACACTGGTTCTAATCCCAGCTGCCTCACTTCCCATTCAGCTCCCTGCTTGTGGTCTGGAAGAGCAGTCAAGGACGTCCCAAAGTGTTGGGACACTGGGCCCACATGGGAGACCTGAAAGAAGCCCTTAGCTCCTGGCTTCGGAGTGTCTCAACTCCAGCCAGTGGGGCTATCTGGGGAGTAAACCAACAGATAGAAGATTTCTGTCTCTCTTTCTTTCTGCAAATCTGTATTTCCAATTAAAATAAATGTTTAAAAATTACCTCAAATATTTTTACTATATATACAGAGAATATTGTTTATCCAAACTGTAAGAAGTCTGTCTGATATCCATCACACTGCATGAAATACATCTTATAATCAATTTATTCTAGAAATATTACCTGATTCATAGCATTACTACACAGCCTATTTTAATGATTAAGTGTAATTATTACCCAAAAAGTAGAAGTTGATGAAAATGATATTTTAATCACCAACAGCCTGAGAAATCACAAATTGGGCATTTAATTAGCCTTACCTTTTTAGCATCAACAAACACCAAACAGTTCACTAACTGACTGTGGTCGTAGGAATAATAAGTAGAAAAACCTATTATCTGTGGTGGGCAAAAGATTTCATAGCTCAAATATTTCATTATCCGTTAGTGTACGGGTGTCACCACACAAAAATTGCTAACTTTCAGGAAAGGGGCAACACCTAGTGAGAATATCATTGAACAACTGCAGTTTACAAAGCCCCTTGGAACCAGACACTGTCCATTCACAATACCAGTTGGCTATTGAGCTAAATAAAGCATTGAACAATAACTTTAAAACATCTTACAGCTCCAGTGCACCATAAACCAAATAAAATTCACTGTAAGGTTAATTTTTTTTTTTTTTTTTTTTTTTTTTTTTAGATTTCACCTCTATTAAGGAACCTGGCTCTAAATGAACTGCTAAACACTTAGTCTCAAGGTATGCCAAACATTTCTTAAGGTCTTAACAAAGAATCAACTTTTTTTTTTTTTAAACAAAACGAGGCCTAGGTTAAATATTTTACTTGGCTTCTCAAGATGGACTAAGAAGTTGGGCACCAGCTCCAGACCGATTCCTGGCCGCACATCAAACATAGCCCTGTCATTTATCCAGTCAGTCAAAACAATCTTTTCCATCTAACCCTTTAATGTTTATGTCCTAAAAAGCTGCTAATTGAATCCAGCTCTTGAAATCTATTTGTTAAAATCTATATACTGTCTAATTTGTAAATGATGAAGTAAAATAGTGTATGTGTGTGTGTTAACTTTCCTGGCAAAACAGAAGAGATTCCACCAAATGTAACAAGGGAGGGCAATGTTTTTAATATCTGTCAAATTTTAAGGGAAAACTACTCAAAAATTCCCAATGGTTTTAAGAAATTGAGAGTACCTCAAACTGTTTTTACAATTAAGGGGACAACGGCTATTTAAAAACCTTCAGAAAAATCTAAATATACCAAATCACTCCATGAATTTAATCCAAGATTCCCTCTGGTCCCAAAACAGAATAAGTGTAATCTTTCCTAACAAATTTACTCATCAGTTTTCGTTGGCTCATATGCAGCAAGGAAACCACAGATAAACACCTTAAGATCTACACACTCACATCAGAAATCTGAAAGCTCGGGTCAGTCACAGAGTCAAACCCCTGCTTCCTGGCACCAGGTCACTCTCCGGGCGCCCGGACACAGCCTTGAGGGAAGTCAATGGCAACGGTCTGTTTCTGATGCTTCCTGCACACCTGGGATCACAGGTTCCTCCTATGATTGCTCACTCCAGGTGAGAACAGCAACGAAGAGCCCGTAAAGGACTCCACTGGCTTGGCCCACAGCCGAGAAACTCCACGCAGGACAGGGACCAGCATCCCTCAAAGCAGACGGTTCATGAACAACCACTCGGTACATGACTACGCGATTTTCCGGGGAGAGGGGGGCAACACCGTCACAGAAGTAAGATCGCTTTATAATTGCAGCCAACTCAAGCCAGCTTCTGGCTACCAAACTCACTGCAGGTTATTATCTGGAGGGTTCAGCCAGTGGACTGGGAGGTGACACACAGCATTCAGCTACAAAATTAGTCCGTCTAAATCTCAAAGTCTAGTGTGGGCAAACATAATTACAGTTTATTCTTAAGCACACACACGGACACAAATCAAGGGAAAACCATCTTTCTCACCACACATTCGAATGTAAGCATGTTCAATTCATTAATGGTAAAACGGTAAAGCTAGAAGGGTGGCACTGCCTTCAACTACCCTTTCCAAACCAAGTATAATTTTTCCTAAAAATTACAGGGATATGTTGATCTAAGAATACTCAACACAGCTCTGAAGGTAAGACGTTCCTGGGATAAAGATTACAGGCACCTGGATCGAAAACACCTTAGAAGAATAGTCTTCTTTCCAATTTAAGTATATGTGCTGCCGAAGCGAGCACAGAAGAATAGTCTTCTTAACAAACCCCCATGGACATTCTTTTCCATTTAGAAAAGGGAAAAGGGGAGGGTGGAGAAAGTGAAAGAAAGTTCCCTTGAAAGTTCTGTAGAAGCACCCACTTCAACAAGTACCGTCGGTCCATTAAAAAAAAGGTGGGGGGGGGGGTTAGTTTTTAAGGCAGATCTAGAGTTAGAAGCGAGCCACAAGTTCTGCGGCCTACAAAGAACAACCCAAAACACGCTACCCTACAATCAAACACTTCCCAAACACAGAGCGTACAAGAGTCCGAGCCGTGGGATCCGCCAGACACACCGGAAAAAGTCAACCTCAGTCTCCTTCCCTCCCCGAGCCGTGCGGTCAAGGTGTGTGGCACGGCCACTGGGGCTGGCGGCAGAGTGGAGGTTTCGCACGCGGGCACCAGTGGCTGCTCAAGTTAACAAGCCGGGCACACACACACTGCACCCTCCCGTTAAGCGCTCCATCTTTAAGGAGGGTTTACTGCGCGCACCGGCAACCGGGATTCAATCAGCCCTTCCACGACCCCCACCTGAGCAGCGGGCAACCCCCCACCCCAGGCTGCTCCCGGCCAAGCCCGCAAGAATCGGGCTCCTCCGCCAAGACGTCCAGACCTCAAAGCCGTCTGCGGTTCGAACCGGTGCACCCCTCACTTCCACACAAGACACCCACTGCCCCCACCCCCGTTCCTCCGGGGATCACCCTCGCCCGGCTTTTCCCAACAAGCTCCCAAACCCAGCAAGTGGTTTTCCAACTATGCTCCCTGAAATAGGCCTTCCCACGCCCCCGACGCCCCCACCACCTAACCTCTGATCGCGACCCTGGCCCTTCTCCCAAGGCCACAGGCAGCCCCCCACCCTCAACCCCGCGCCGCCTCGCCCACCTCGCGCCCGACCCCCCTCACCTGTCAGGCGCAGCTTGACGGGCCCGTTCCGCCGGCCTCCGGGGTTAGACATGTCCCCGGCGGCGGGGACAGCCGGGGCGGCGGCGGGGCTCCGGGCCGGCGGGCGGGGCGGGGGCGACGGCGAGGCGCGGCAGCCGAGTCACTACTGCGGCCGGGGCTGGGGCCCGAGCAGCCGGCGCCGCGGCCGTGGCGGCCGGAGGGTCCCGGATGTGCCGAGCGTCGTCGCCATGAGCGGCGGAGGGAGCGGGACGCCGAGCTCCCCCCTCCTCCCACTTCTCCTTCCTCGGCCCGGGCCGCACAACAAAGCCGCAGCCGCGGCCGGCCTCGCCGCCGCCGCCCGCCCGCCCGCGCCCCCGCCGCCGCCTCGCAGTCGCCGCGGCCTTCCTTTCCTCCCGACTCTGGCGAGGCCCGGGAGCCGACGGGACCGGTCGGTTGAGGCGGGCGGTGCTCGGCGCGCCGGAGCTGGACTCGGGGCTCGGCCGCTTCCTCCTCCACCCGCCCTCTTGTCTGAGGGAACCCGGTCCCGAAGCCGCCGCCGCCGCCGCCGCCGCCACTCGTCGGCCCGGTGGGGAGGGGGGGGTAGGAGAGAGGCGGGGAGGAGACGGAGGCGGGGCCGACGGGCGGGGGCGGGGCCGCGGCGGGGCGGGCGCGCGCCGGGTGCCCGGGACGCGGGGAGGCTGAGGGAGGCGCGCGGGCTGGGCCTGGGCGCCGGGCAGGGAAGGCGGGGGACACCCCGCAGTCTGAGGGGAGAGGGCGGAGGGTGGCCCTGTGGCACCTGGAGCGGCTTAGCATGCAGCCCGCTTCAGGTAGAGCGTGTGTCGGTGCAGGACACGTTGCATGTATTGGACACTCACTGTGTGCGGGCCTCTCGTAGCGGGTGCGGGTTCTAAGAACCCGGAGTCCGCCGCCCCCGGACACTCTAGCATCTCTCGGGCGAGGGGAGAAGCCTTGCAGCCGCCGCCATCCCCCGCCCCTCCCCTGGAATGCGTTGCTGGTGGACTTGTATTAGCCTCCGCTCTCCGGCACTCAGCCGGTGGGCAAGATCAGGTTACCTCTGGGGCGAGGATAAGGAGGTGATAGCCATGCCTTAAAGTATTGTCAGCCAGGTCGGCCTTCAGGAGCTGTGTGTGCAAAGCTAGTTTTTCGTTATCTCGGGAGGAGAAAAAAATTACATGTACCTTACACTTTGAACCTGTAATTGCAGGACTAGGAATGTTTACAAATGCGTAGCAATTCAGAAGACATTCTTTACTACATTTAGATAGTAACAAGGAGGATGGACCAGCAACCTAATGGTGAATTATATTACATCAGCGGCATTTTTTTTTTCCGTGTGCAGCCATTTAACTGGCAATTAAGAAGATCGCTTACTACGGGAGAGTTTATATATGTCAGGCAGTTTAATAAAAAAAAGCAGAACAATTGGTGTCTGGCGAGATGACTCAATGGATTTACCTCATCTGGCAAGCTCCAGAATCCCATATGGGCACCGGTTCCAGTCCCAGCTGCTCCACTTCCCATCCCGCACCCTGCTTGTGGCCTGGGAAAGCAATCGAGGACGGCCCAAAGCCTTGGGATTCTGTATCCGTGCGGGAGACTGGAAGAGGTTCCTGGCTCCTAGCTTTGGATCAGCACAGCACCGGCCATTGCGCTCACTTGGGGAGTGAATTATCGGACAGAAGATCTTCCTCTCTGTCTCTCCTCCTCTCTGTATATCTGACTTTATAATAAAAATAAAATAAAAATATTAAAAAAAAAGAAGTACCACTCTGTTTATTACAGCAACACTTTTAGAGAGAGTTTTGAGAACAAAGGGAGGAATAACAGTTGTTTGTGAATTCACCCTTTACTTTGTTCCTAAAACAGAAATCCAATTCCAATGTAAGTTGTGCCTCTATATGCCTTTGTTGGCTATGGGAATTTGAGAAAAACTTTCCAAATCCTTTTGCTCTCTATATGATGTCCAATTTGCTCTCAGCAGAATTGGACATTTTTTAGTGTATCATTGTGTTAGGAATCTGTCTCAGGTATACTAACATCACCAATTTTATACCAATAAACTTAGTCTCTTTGCATAAATTTGATTAAATCCCATTTATAGAAGTTTCCAATGAAAATGCGGTCATGGCTCATTAAATAGCATTTCTGAGCAAAAGTTTTAAAAAATTTTATTAGCATATTTTACTAATCACTTAACATGGTATTTTTTAGGATGGTATTCTAGACACAGGCGAAAACATACACAAAACTATAAGAATGTGTGACACCTTTTGTTCAAAACCTGTTTCTGTTTTCTGGACCTAATGTTAAATTTGATGTGACTGCACAAGAAAATGCTTACCATCTGTGCTTGATGCCTTCTTCTGCTCCAGCCATTAATATTTTTTTTTTTTGCATACAAGCGTTGTCTCCAGTAATAAAAAATCTGTCTGAGGTCAGGTTATGTTAATAATGGTACTCATACTAAGCTATTTTTGTAGGGCAAATTTCAAGTGTAATATAGTTTATGTGCTATGGAAAAAGCGAACATCAATTGCTGAGCAGTTTATGCCATTGCTTAAGGGTCAGCTTTCTTTCACTTAAAATATATCATTAATTTACCTTAATTCAATCGAACACTAGGTTCAGTTTCCTCCATATCAGCTTATAATAGAGGAAGCAGTCAAGCCCAGCGTAGCCTGCCGTGTACTCTCCCATGTCAATCTGATTTTCCCTCCCCACCTCCGCCTATTTCCCCATCTGCCTAGCCCAGCTCCACCAAAATGAAGTTCACTGAATATCCTCATGGACAGTTCTGACAAGGTTTAGTTGAAGTCACATCCCAAACTGTACCCCATCCATGTTCCCTTCCCTGACCTCCTCCAGCCTCCACCGCCACTCAGTAGTGCTAATACCCAATGAGAAAAGCTGGGGCACATCCCCAGCACGTATTCCTTCAGATCTGGGCTCCCCCATTCCTCATGCTCTCTGTCCTCATATACCCCCTTGTGAGGAGACCTCTCTTCTATTGCTCTCACTCGGTGTCCTCCACTCCAGCTCAAGCTACTGATTCAGTGGATTGAGGCAGAACCCGTGGACTTGTTTCTAATGCGGCTGGTACAGAGAATCCACTTGGAGGACCAGTGCCCTAACACCAGGGGTGAACACAAGAAGCCATGTTTATATTAGGCAAACTTGGCCTCAACTGGTTGAACCAAAGGTGGATCAACTAAAAAGCGAATCAGATTTTTCTCTCCTTAAAACACAAGGCAGGGACACTGCAAGACAGCTGACTGTGGGGTGCAGAGTTCACAGGTGACAGAATCCACAGCTGAGGAAGCCCTGTTAAGGTCATAGCGAGGTCTTTCTAAGGAGATAAATTAAACAATGAGTCTCTAGAAAAAGACTGATAAAGCAGACAGAGAAAGGCAGCAGGCTTCCTAACCCTAAAGAGGGAGACAGAGGAGAACTGCCAGCTTCCCTGCCAGAACTCCTGGCCCAGGTGCACGTCTTACAATTCACCTCCAAGGGAGGCTGCTCTGGAATGGCCACCAGGCCCTTTACTTAAGCAAGTTGAAGTGGCCCCCATTCTTTCATTTACTTTGTCTCCACTCAGGATTTGTTTTCCTCTTCGGGTCTATCTTGAATTCTTCCCCAACACACCCCAAAGACCACTGGTTTCTGTCTTTCCCCTGACTACATTTTTTCCCTACCTGGAGTCTTGTCTACACCCCAGCCAGTGGCTTGGACTCTACAGCTAAGAGTAGCACTTCAAGAATCTATAGCAGTGTAAAATATATATAGCCATTGCAATGGGGCTGGTGACATGTGACAAATGTCAAGTAAACTTCGGACTTCAAAGACTTAATGGGGGAGGCTAAAAAAACCCTTAATATCTCTATATTGCTGAGATGGTAAAATTTTATCTGTATATTGGGTAAAATTCACTATAATATTAAGGTTAGTTCACCAATTTCTTTTTATTTTGTTCAATCTGGCTACTAGAAAACTTGAAACTACAAAACTGAGTTGCATGACATACGGATTGGACAGTAGTGATTCTAGAGGCAATGGCCATCCACCCAGGTACCCCAGAAAGTTCACCATCAGCTAGATCCCCCTTATCATGGGCTCTGTGCTCTGCACAGCATCAGACTTGGCCTGTATCACCCTGTAGGCCTTACTCAGCTCTCCAACTAGTATCTTCAGCTGGGTAAGTTCAACAGCAACTATGGCAGCCTTGTGAGAGTGGAAAGATCTGATCCAAGGACCCTCTTCTAACTCCCTAACCTGCCTTTCTGGTTTTGTATTAAAATAAATACATCATGCTTCATGTTTAAGTCTGGAAACTGGACAGATCTTGTACCGCAGGTTCATATGTGCAGGAGAGAGGTTGTGAGTTGAATTGTGTCCTCCAAAAATGTATCTTGATTTCCTATTCTCTGGTATTCATGAATGTGACCTTGTATGAAACAGGGTCTTGGTAAAAGCTATCAAGTTAAAATGAGGTCAGCAGGATAGATTCTGATTCAACGTGGCTGACGCTCGTTTAAGAAGATTTCATGTGAAGACAGAGACATGCAGTATGGAAGGGAGGCTGACATGGGGGTAATGCTGTTGCAAGCCACGGACTTTTCTGGTTAACACAAAAAGCTGTGAAGGGCCAGCTGATCAGGGCGATGGACTGTGCCAGGCCCTGTACTTGCTAGTATATACAAGAATCTGGTCTGAGAACACCTCAGACAAAGTTTCTTTGGAGATCTCCCCAATCAAAATGCTGGACTCAGAAAAGACGGAAGACAGAACAGGTCAATCAACCATCTCAGCTATATGTTGGCAGCGAAATACGGGGCAAACAAAGACTCTATGATGGACTATGTCAATCAGTGGATTCTTCAATGACCTCATAGTGCTTGGAGTGGCAAGATTGGCAGTGATTCATAACTGGTGAACTATCAAAACCACTTGAGCAAGAACCTCAGAGCATACCCTACATCCGGGAACTGGGGAGGGTGGAAAATTGGGTGGGCCTTCTCCCTTAATACCCCCTCTTTAAACATGAAGGAAACAATATGGAAATAATAGTCTTTCCCACTTTCCTATAGCTCTTGAACCTTTTTACCCTAATTACTACGTAAAGATTGTCAAAAATATAATAAAAAAACAAAAACAAAAAGCTGTGAAGGGGCAAGGAAAGATTCTACATAGTGTCAGAGGGAGAACCTGACTTTGGACTGCTAGTCTCGGGCCTGTGGGAGAAGACATTTCTGTTAATTTAAGCCATCCAGTTGGCAATAAGTCACCATGGAGTCTTAGGAAAG